CGCTGCAGCTCTCCTTTGAAAGCACGGATCAAACATATTCATGCATACTTGTGTGAAATTCGAACAAGATGCTGTGCACGTGTGTGTCTGTTTGATGGACCTGCTGCTGTGAGGAATTTCAGGGAGTATTGTTAACTTTCCACAACAGTTTAAAGGGAGCGACGGGGTCATAGCTCACATCCATTATCCTCCGTCTTTATCACTTCTGTGTTTTCCCCTCTTGTCTCACCGAGCGCTAATTAATATGTTCAGTCTGTCTGCATCTCTTCTCTGTGCTCTCCTGAGGGATGCAGACCGCTGTACTGCATAACACAACAACAACACCTGCTGTACTGTGTGTGTGTGTAGGTGTGTGTGTGTGTGTGTGTGTGTGTTCTGTCCCTGTGCTGGCTGTTGCTGCTGTCTCTACCCTCCAGCACAACTTGTTGGTTTTACTTCTGTCCAGCTCAGTACATCTTAAAAATGGACGTGGGTAACATTCGCAGTCTCATGCGGAAAACTCAGGCCTGTATTTTAGAAAACGGCTTCCTGGGCCAACGTGTCGATGACCTGAACCGTGTAAGTGTTGCTATTTAACTTAGCGTGTGCTGCTAAATGTGTCCTGTGTATTTCTGAACAGTGAACGCTGGGTGTGGCTTGTAGCACTTTGGCTGAAGTGGAAACGGCTCTGTTGGTTTTTAGATTGAAGGATGGCTGCTGTCAGCTGTTCTAAAGAAAGCTTTGGATGATGTACAAACAGAAACTCTCTGCTTTGTTTCTCTGTGTGTGTTTGAATGAATGTGAGGTCTGTGAGTGGCTTTTAGACTTCAAACAGCACTTCTTGGCTTGGTCCTGATGTTCTCTACTGGGGGCTGTGAGGGGGACTCAGGACTTTCTCTGAGACCTAGAAGTTGTGATGGGAGCTCATGGGACAGGAGGGACTTGATGAACCTTTTTGAGATTTGTTTGTGCATAGAAGTGAGTATAGTTCAAGACATGTTGTTTCTGGGCTCCAGCGGATTCGTTTCCTGCCTTTGTTTCATGATATCGTGAAGTAAATATCCAAAAACAAGATACCTGAAGACATCACCTTGGGGCCTTGCAGAATTTATGATCTACTATTCCTGTGCCATTTTGTTGACTAAAGGAATCACTCAAAATAAACTAAATAGAATAATACAGGGTTCCTACACCATGTGGAAAAGTGTGGAATTAGACTTTAGTGGACTTTAGTTTTTGTTTCCAGGTTTGGGAACAAAAAGTCTGAAAAAATCTGCCTTTACCTTGATTCTGTTTTCTAAAATGTAAACTTCAGAATTTCAACAATACATTGATGTTACAGGCAGCTATATATATATATATATATATATATATATATATTCAGAATGCAGCCAAAACGTTTACGTCTGGATGAGAGACGGTGAGCTGGAGTGAGCTCACTGTCGTGGTGTGTAACTGAACACACTCGTCCACATCGCTGCCTCTATCAGAACATCTAAAAGCTTTAAGTTCCTGATGTCTGCACGGATCCAGACATCAACAGTCAAATTCATTCAAAGGAAAATGCAGCGTTGTCTCTGAGTTGCACATCTCCATGTGGTGGCATCACAAAACAACAAACACTGAGCTTGTCTAAATATGAATGAGTTATGCAATGATGGAGTTATCAGAAAAGTAGAAGGTTTGTATTGACAGTACCAGCGTGGCCGTGTCTATGACATGTCTGGTTTAGGTTTTCATTCATTTGTGTGAGCTGCAGCACTTATGCAGACTAACTATGGGCTTACGTTGCCAAATACCAGGCATGTGAAGTGTTTCATAGCTGTGTGACTGTGTGCAAGTGTGTTCTGAAAAACCAACAGAGAATTCTGGAAAAGTATTTTTGAAAAGGAAAATATGTTTGAGCCCTGTTAGTAAACGATAAATAGCTTTTTGTGTCGGCACGACTTGGCTGCTCAGATTATTTAACTTTAAATGTTTGACAATGTTAGAATTTATGCAGAATAAGGGAACAAACTGTGAACTGTATACGACTAAAACTTAAAAAAGGGAAATATTCTTGTTGAATCTGTTATGAAACTTAACTGAAACGTTAGATAGAATTTAAAACAAAGGCCACAAGTGACAGTTATGGGATTAAGAAGAGCGATGAAGGCAGTGAAGCAGCCCGTTGAACAGTCATATCTATTAACAGTGTGCTGACATTAGTCACCGCTGGTCAGACCAGATCTAAAGCAGCTGGAGCTGCAAACCATCAGTCTATTAATTGACCCACACGCTGCCTGTGTTTAACTTTTCATTTGTAAGAAGAACATTCTGATCTTTCCTCTTTCACAAGTAGTGAAGTGTGGGTTGAGGTCTGCTAACACAAAGCCAGTGTGGCCTGCTGCTGTTATATAAAGCAAAGTGCAGCGTGTTGGGTTTTATACAACAGCTGATGGAGTAGAATCCAACTCTGTTCCTGCCTCTTTGTCTCATATGTTATTGAATAACGCCGTTCATCTCGTCCTCTCTTTCCTTCTTCCCAGATGAAGACGGATCATGTGTGAGGGATGTGGACTTTATGTGTCTCCATGCGTGGGGCAGACACACTGTGATTGATCAGGTGTTACTACAGCTATGGCCGTTCCCTAACCACATGTCCTCCGTCCTTCTCCTGCTCTAGGTGGTGGCGAGTGACGGGGTGCGGGCTATGATGGAGTCGGCCCTGACAGCCAGAGACCGGGTGGGCGTGCAGGACTTTGTCCTGCTGGAAAACTACACCAGTGAGGCGGCCTTCATAGAGAACCTGCGCAAGCGCTTCAAAGAGAACCTCATCTATGTGAGTGAATGCAGTGAGGAGGGTCCAAGAGCCTGTCCAGCACGGTGCCTATGAGGCTATGGACTGTCTAAAGCTACATGTTCATCATTTTAAACATATATGAAACCTTTTTAAATCGATTAGCTTCATTACTGTGACTCAGGCGCATGTTTCACTGCTCAGGTACAAGTTTTCATTTATGTATTACCATGTTTTGTTGCTTACTGGCCAATATTCACGTAAAAGCTCGTGTAAAACTTATTTTTTAGACTGATGTGACAAATGGTTTTTGTGTCTAGTATCAGTAAAAAAAAAAAGGAACCTTAGTGCACGTGCAAAATTGGTTTATTTACAGTGCAAAGCTGGTTTAATCATTTTTGAGCGTGTCAGCACTGCCACTGCTGATTTATCAGCAGTTAGAAATACAAAGACATGGTGAATAAGCATCTCATTATAACCCTGGAGCCTTCAGCTGGGGACTGTTTCCTGCATTGGATCAGGATTTCACTGTATTTTTGCTCCAGTAACTCTGCGGAGGACAAACACCCGTGACCCGTGGATAGTGCAGACTTCTTTGCTGTTTTTGCTGTACTCACATGTCATTGTAGAAAAGCCAAGTAGAGCAGTAAGCTTTGAACTAAACACTCACGCCTGCCGTGAACACAGCAGATGTAGTAAAGTGGAGATGCAGTGAAGACGTGTGGTTGTCTCTGATGCTGACGCTGCACTGAGGCTCTCAGAATGAGGTTTGCCAAACGGTCCTACAGGTGACTGTTGTCATGTCATGTGACTGTATGTTCCCTTTCCATCAGACATACATTGGTTCTGTGCTGGTGTCGGTTAACCCATACAAAGACCTGGAGATCTACACCAAGAACCACATGGAACGATACCGCGGCGTCAACTTCTACGAGGTCTCGCCACACATGTAAGTACACAGACTGTACAATCCCGACTGTGTGCAGCTCAGATACAGTCAGCGTCTGTTTAACGTCCTCAGGTGGGCAGACTTATTGGATGGAGACGACAGGAACGGTCTGCCATTTGCACCACATATTTCATGAGGCATTCCCCTCCCCTTCTTATTGTTACTGTTTTCAAAATGACCTTCACTACAGGAAGCACACACTTGGGTTTTGCAGATTTGGATCGGGGCTGACCATAGTGCATGCACATCTTCCACCAAACCAATCCCCCTTTCCTTTGTTGCAGGGGCACTGTCACTGCATCCTGGGCTTAGCACCATGACTGTGATTGGTTTAAAGGAATACAACCAAGCCAAAGTGTTCATTCCTCTATAGCAGAATGATAATGCGATGCATCCAGAACATTGTCCAGCACTGACAGCACTGTGGAGATTGGTCTGGATGTCTGAGACCACCGGTCATCCTCATGTGATGTCTGAAGACAAGCTTGAGGCTGCTGACATGAATCTACATTATATCTGAATCTCCACGTTGACGCTTGGCAGTGGAGTTTGTTGTTGATAATGTGGACAGCAGGGTTTGACACGGAGTAAAACAGGCTCATGATCAGAGGCTCCAGAGCTACTGTTTATTATTGGAGTGCAGCACTAAATTGGGACGCTCTTTTAACCGACTTTTACCAATAAATTGCTCAATTAAAGTTAAAAAAAAACATGCAAATGTAGAAGCTACATACATAAGAGTCTTTAAAAGTTCTTTGGTAATATCATATGAAGGGCTTGTTGTCAGTCCAGCATGTTTGGTACGTCTTTGAGTGATTCATGGCAGCTACAGGTACAAAGTGTTTTCTGAATGGGCCCAGACACTGGCTGTATCATTCATGGCTGACAGTGTGTTTACTGTTGCCTTGTTTTTGCTGCTACACCCTAAAAGAAGCAATTTGTTGAAGCTTTTTCCCCTTAAATGACTTCACAGTGTTCCAAATCCTGTCGCCGTCCCTCTGAGCACATGTTTGTCCTGAGCGCCGCTCTGTCAGAGTCGGCTCATGTCTGACTGTCTCTTTCTCTGTCAGTTAAACTGTTAGCTCGACGTCATGGCATGAGGCCGAGTGTTTGTTTGAAAGGTTGTCAGGGGATTCCCTGCTCAATCCTCCCAGAGCTCATAGCAGCCAAACAATCAGGCGCATTATGAAGAGTCTGAATGGCGTCATCGTAACATTTCAGCATCTCTCACTAGTTTTCTATGTCTCCTCCAACTGCTCCTAGTTTTTTCCCCTCCTGTCTTTTTACTTCAGCACTTGAGCGTGTGGCCAAATGTTTTCTCTCTCCGAGTGGAAAGAAAGATGTGCTTTGGCAAAGAGAGGTGGATGGTTGGAGGGAGAAAATGGGAGGGAGAGGTGGAGGGAAAAGTAAGCAAATGATGGTACCAGGCGAGAGATTTCCTCCCTTGAGAGGGAATTCCTCTGACCTGAAGCCGACCCCTCGGCCTCCAGCCTCCCCACCATCACACACATACGCTGGGATGCAGCTCCGGGCTGCCTGCCTGGTTTTTATCTTCCAGCAATTAGTCTGGTGTCAGGAAAGTGTCCAAACAGGCTGAAACAACATGGCAGTGGTGATAGCAGCACCGGGCTGATAAATTCTACTGTAACTAAAGCAAGCTGTGTTCCACTGTGGCTTCTATGATTCATGCTGCTCGCTCACTATCTGTCCATGTTCACACACTACCAGATGCTATCATGCTACTTTCCAAACACAAGTTTGCCAAGACATTCCAACAGCTACATTTTTTTAACAGAATATCATGATGATGAACAATAATTGCGTGTTTTGCTTCGCTGTGTTGCAACCGATGCAGATTTAACTCATTAGTTTAGCTCCATGTTTAATGTTGAGCAGAAAGCTGAGTGAAGCTCTGAGGTGACACGTTCAGTCTCACGTTTCTTTCTGTGAAATATACATACTTTAAATATTTAAAGCTGCTTTAAAAGTTTTGATAAGCTCCAGCCCGGCACCACAGCACACAGACAAAGCTAATGACGAGCTGGTGAACATGAGGCAGATTTCCACTGCAGGAGCTCAGGGCGGCCATGAAGCAGACGTTGACAGGAACGGCCAGCGAGTCCATCAGCCGTTCTGTTCCCACTGTAGCGCTGGATCTGACAGCTTCCACCATGACGTTAACTCTGAATGCAGTAAAACATCAACAAATAGGAGTTATTAGCATGTAGGAAATAGAACAGTAGATGTTTGTTATGCTCGCCTGTACGTTGAATTTTATATTGTTGATGTCAGAGAAGACACTGATGCTCAATGAGGACATCAAGAGAGCAGAAAAAATGGAACATGTTGTTGTTGTCTTCTGTGAGTTAAACCAATCAGCACTGAGCTGAACCCGAACCCTCCAAAGCACCTGTCCTGCAGTGGGTCACTGTTTCCTTCCCTTGAAAGAGATTCAACAGGAGCACTTCCTGCAAAGCTCTGGGCTGCTCTGAACCAGCCTGCAGGTTCCTAAAGTGGAAAACACATGATAGACCGGCTCTGAGCAACTGAAGACAAACATGTTCCTGTTGAAATAGGAGCTAAATGAGAGTGAATGTTGGACTGAGTTGGTCAAGTGTCCAGGACAAAACCCAAACGTTTGTAATATAGACTTTATGAGCTGATAACAACATTGTCTTTACATATTCTTATGTGCGTTTCATAACTATTTCAATGACACATTTCTTTTGTCTCTTTGCTTATCACTTGTTTGTTTTGCCTTCGTAGACTTTGTTGTGTTTAATAACTTGACAGTTTTTATGACAAACCTTTACAAGCGTTTGGTTTTGCATAAAACAAATTTAAACTCACACTGAAATAGTTTTAATGCATAACTAACTGATGGTGAACATCTTACTGTTACCTACAAATGTATGTTTTACGAGTGATCAGAGATGACAGAAGTACTCACAATCTTTACTGAAGTAAAAGTAGAAGTACTGACTCAGCTCCTTTACTCAAGTAAAAGTAAAAAAGTACAGGTTCAGACATTTACTGAAGTACAAAAGTCAAAAGTAAGAATGAATTTTTAGCTCCGATGACACGCGATGCCTCTTTAGATAACTCTGTAAAACAGAACAAGCTTTAAGCACACAGCTCAGGACTGTTTGGATCCTTTAAGCAGCTGCACAGAGCGGCTACAGAGGAACTCATCCCTGGACAGGTTCCTGTTTCAGCAGCATGATGAACATTAAACATCGGCATCAACATGGAAACACTCGTCTCTTCAAGACTACCAACATCTGTTACTGAGCCTCAGCAGAAGCTGGTTCTCAGAGTTCTCTGGATGGAGACGGGCCCTTTGGGTCTCAGAACCAGTCCTGCAGTGCTGAACAGCCTCTGGCAGGCAGCTGAGGCAGGCAGGCTGTGCTGAGCTTCACTGTTGGTAAAGATAAAGACGTCTGTTGTTACGTCTTCTGCGTCACGTCTTCATCCGCCGAGGATGAAACACGTAGCGAGTCCGTTTAGAGAATGTACGGAGCAGAAAGTCCAGATGTTTGTGTTCAGATGGAGGGAGTCAAAGGAGAAAGTCGTCAGAAACATTAATACTCAAGGAAAGTACAGATACCTGCAGAATGGACTGAAGCACAGTAACAGAGTATTTGTACTTCATTACTTCCCACCTCTGAGAATGATGCACGTCTTTGTATGCAATGGAGCTAAACACACACAAACCACATCTTCCTAAATGATGATACAGATGAACAGAAAAATAAGGGTTAGGGTTAGGGTAAGGTTTCACCTTCATGAGCCTGCATTGGTTTTAGCTCCATGAACAGAACAAACTGGCAGCACAGTGAACAGCAGAGTTAATACAACCTCAATCAGATGTGTTTATGTCTGCGTTATATCGCTAAAGAGCCAAATGCTGCTAGTGGGACTTGTTTCAAACATTCCTGTTGCTGTGTGGATTATGACACAAAGTTAGTGACATGACATGCTCCTTGGTCCACTGATCTGAGCTCTCCCCTCCAGCTACGCAGTGGGAGACAACTCGTACCGGTCCATGAGGACGGAGGGGAAGGACCAGTGCATCCTGATCTCAGGCGAGAGCGGCGCCGGAAAGACGGAGGCGTCCAAGAAGATCCTGCAGTACTACGCTGTCACCTGTCCGGCCAGCGAGCAGGTGCAGACCGTCAAAGACCGCCTGCTGCAGTCCAACCCTGTGCTGGAGGTGAGCCAGGAATCTGTAGCCACGCTGAGGGAAGCTGTTCAGCGTGACGGATCTGCTGATAGAATGGCTGCTCATCCCAGAATTAAAGTAGTTCAAGTCGTGTGGATGAATGTGATTTGGTAGGTAGTGGATAGGAAGTTTGCTGCTGCTTTTATTAAAAACAAGATGTCCGCCTGTCAGCAGGGCTTAAAACAAGATGAACTGAAGATGGAGAAACACTCACTGCCCAGGATGTTGAAGCTCAGAGCTGGATGTCACACAGTCATGAATAATGCTGCGTTATCTTTTTATTTGAGCATCGATCTTTCATCATACGGTTAAAAAGTACGACTACCTTTTTATTACCTGCTTCGTCGTCCAGGAGAACCAGCAGACACAGTTTGATACCAGGCCTCTCCACCCTCACAGCTAAATCAACTTTATCACTCTGCATTTTGTCTTTTCAGTTAATAGCTGCTTATTTTCTTTCATTTAAAGAACATAATCATCTCTATATGAATATAATTCTTCTGCTCCGTGCTCACAGAGACCGTCGGTGGTCGAACAGAGCTGGAATGCAGCATCACGTAAGACGTGCAGTAGATATTTAAGCACGGTGAGCGTTCTGGCACAATTCGCTCTGGGATAAGGACGGAGCGCTGAGTGCTC